TGTGTAACCTGTTCTTAATGTCCTTAAGCTACCCAATGAAGTATCTTCACGATAGGTGTCTTATCCTAATGCCTGTCCTACAGAGGACAGTCATCCTGCCCTAACACTTACTGTTAGAGAGTTTCTCCTACTGTCTTGCTATAGACTAAGCCATCTCCCAGAACTGCCCACTCTATCTACTATATTCAGTAGATACAGGGGATGATTTTTGGAAGCTCACCACTGAGCTTCCAAATTTCAAATGTATTTGAAGACTTGATGGTACAAAACTAGATCTCCCAGGATTTCCCTCCAAACACACACACTTTTCTTTAAACAAGGCAGACTACTGTGTCACCTGATGATGGAAAGAACATCAAACTGATTTTGCAAACCAAGAGAAGGGAACACTTAACATAGTTAAAGGACAATGCATCAGAGAAACCCCTTTGTCATGGTGTATAATTTACCTGAGGTGCTTATATGCCAAAGCATTATTTAAAGCTAAGCAGGACAACCGCATCCAAAAATTAGTATTAAAATTAAATGGCTAACAAGGTACCCAGCAGTCACAGTGAATCGAGCAAATATTTATGTACATTCATGGCAGCTTTGTGACGGATGTCCATCATTACTTTCCTATGCCCCATTTTAGCCCTTCAGTAGGAGGAGGACGTCATGCAGGGGTTAGGAGGTGCAGCGTGAAGCTACCAGGATAATTCAGAGCAGGCAGAAACAGAGAGGTCTGCTCAGGGCTGCAGTAACTCAGCCAGCAGCTGCCAGCTGAGAGCATTTAGCAGTGGGCATGACAGGTGCCATAATCTGCTTGTCATCGTGCACTTTGTATCTCCAGTGATTATTTATAAATCAATACACTGGCATGTAAAGAAAATGATACTTTCAGCAGGACAGTGGAATAGACATCAGGAGCTTCTTATGTGTGAGTGAAGGCTTCTTTTTAGATAGAACATATCCAACAAACAGTGTGAGCTCTGTGGAGTCCAAGATTTCAGAGCCTGAAGGGAGCATTGCAATCTTCTGGCCTCAGCTTCAGCATACAGCAGGCTACAAAACTTCACCAACTGATTTCTGCATCAGGCCAATAGCTTCTGGATGAGTTATAGATCATCTCTTAAAAACACTTTCAGCCTTGATTTGAAGACTTTATGTTACAGAGGGAATCTACAACATCTGTGGGTAGGTAGCCCTTGTCACAGTTTGCATCTCAGCAGTTTTTATTAATAGAGCAAGTGTCTGTTCTTGTTATATTAGCATTATCAAGTCCTATATCCATCTACAGCGCAAAATATGGTGGAAGGATAATGTGAAAATGCCCAGTGTCTGTGACTTCAGCACATCACCAGTGCTCCCCAAAGTTAAAGACCAGAGCTAAAATAAAAATGTATGGGGAGAGACTTATATTCAAAGTATTTTAGCCCATATAGGAAAGGAGATGAGCAGGAGCTGCATGGCCACTTCCAAAGGGAGAATGGGCAGAGGAGAGCAAGGCAGGGCAGGCTGTACTGGAAGGACCCAAAGGCCACTGCAGGGGGAAGATGGAAGAGCGCAGAGAGATCACATCAGTGACCTGTCGGTGTGAATCCACTGAAGTTTGTCTAGACAACGAGCAAGGCAGCTTTGAACTGGGTACTGAAACAGATGACACATAACACACTTGTGTGATAGAAATGGAGAAGTGAAAGTTCTTTGCAGACTGAGGGGGTGATGACAAATATTGTTTCTGCTGGGATTCAGGATGCCTATGGACACAGGAGGAGGCTGGGAGAAAGTCAAGACTGGATGCAGAGCCAAGTCAGCCCAAAATATGTGCCCAGGATGAAGGACAGGTTTGCAGACAAAAATGGGAGAAGTTCAGCATTGAGGATAGCGCAGCAGAACAATGGAAGGAGGCAAATGATGAGCTGGATCAGAAAAAATGTGAAAGGACCTGAGGCTGCTGATGTTCCCCTCCCCAGGAGAGCACCTGAGCCATTTAGCTAAGGAAAGCTCAAATAAAGCCAGAACTTCTGGTCAAGACAGGTTGAAAATGTTGCCAGAGATGACCCACAAAGGTATTGAAACAAGTATTGAAATGTAAGTTCAGTTTCCTACTCACAGTTGCTTTCAGAGTGGCATAGAGGAAGAAGAGAAGTCATAGTGAAAAGCAGACAGCCAAACCCTGCATTTTTTAGCTCAGAGGGCAGACTCACAAAGAACTTGTCAGAGGGGTCAGAGCTGTCCTCACAGTGTTGGAGGCAAGGTCAGTAGAATGGAAGGCTCTCCAGCACCCACAGGAGAAAGGGAGGTGAGGGTATGCAAGGTACCATTGGGTAACATTCCACTGCAAAGCCAACAAGACACCCCAGTGGACAGGTGACAAAGTGTTTGGAGCAAAGCAATGAAAGCACCAAGAAACTCTAGTATGTATCAGCAAGACCCTATGTCTGTACTTGTATGGCTTGACAGTGCTCAGTGAATTAACTTTGTATGAACTAGAGTGCTTGCTTCAAATCACCAGTCAAGGAGGCACAAAATGACAGAGGTGACACATGCTGTGGAGTGAACCTCAGGCTGATAAGCTGTGATGGGCTTGTCAGGTTTGGCTCTGTAGTAGTACTGCTTGAGGTAGAAAATGTTGTCAAATAGCCAACACCCCTTGTACCTGCCCTTGGGTAGAGATGCAGAGAAAGGGCTGAAGGGAAAAGGGGAGGAAGCATGGTGTGCAAAGAGCAGTGAGTACATGAGCTCCAGTTGAGAAGTGGCCTCTATGCCTCTCTACATCCTGTGTGAACCCTGGGCAGTTCTTTAGGCAGCACCACAGCATACACCTCCTCACACAGATACTGGTACCAAACAGAGGCAGTTGCGATGTTTCACAGGGCTTCAGACCTGGTGGCCTTGGTTCTGCAGCAGACTGCATGCAGCTTGGGACCATGTAACCCAGATAATGCAGTGCTGCATTGAAGATGTATGGAGAGGAGCTGTTTCTGGAGAAATTTTATTCAGTTCCTGGAGAACTTGAGAACTAGAGTAATTATAATAAAGTTCTGAATAATATATTGGCAACCTGACAGCTTGAATGTTTATCCGAACTGGAATAGTCATGCTGAGGCAGGGCTTCTGTAATGCTAGTTGAATGCTGGGAAAGGAAAATTGTGTACCATTCCTGAGGAGCCTCAGTGGGGTGGAACAGAGGGCAAACCGTACATTAGCTAAAGCAGACAAGTTACAAACAAGGTTTGAGGCGGTAGGATGGCTTGTAGTGTCCCCGACAGGACACAGCCTCCCAACCTTCCAGGAGTCCAGCTGGCTGCTCAAGGTCAGTGCACTGATACAGGCTGTTACTGGGAAAGACCGGGAGGGATCCTCAGCAGAGCTTCCTCCCTCCTTTCCGTAGCAGCTGCTTTTAAGCTGAGGCTGTCATTCCTGGCTCCTGCCTGCGCTACAGTGCAGCCATGCCTATACCTGGATGTACCACCCACTCACATGGACCCCCAGCCAGGGACCCGATTCCCAGCTTGAACTCGGATCTGCCTTATCCCCATGGACTGGTGACTGAGCCTGGCTAATGCCCACAAACGGCTCTGCTCCCCTTGCTCAGGTATAGTGGAATGAGATCCCTGAGGGGAGCCCTGTTCCCATGGCTGTGTTAGCACACTTGGCTTCCAGCTCCCTGTCCCTTAGGGAGCAGCCAGCCCACACAGAACCCTGGAAGTCTTCATTCACCTCTTACGAGCAATTTCATCACTGTGGAGGCACGAGTTGCTTTACAATCTGAAACGCTGAGTTGGTACATGACTGTCCCACAGCTCTGAGAGGAGACGGCCTCAGCTATACTGCCATCATGGCGGAGATGCCCTCAAGTGTGCTCAGGGAAGGTGTCGTATTTGGCATCTGCAGCAGCCCTGATTCTTTGCCAGGCCAAGACTATAAACCAAGTTTCCCAAAGTACACAGGACATGGCCTGTGAGCAGTTCAAAACACCTGTGGCCATCCTGGACAGATCTCACCAATTTTAGAGGCCATTCCCAGCCCTCAGTGTGCCGTCAGACACCGGGCACTGCAGAGCCTCCTCCAGAGACCAGGAGAGCCTCACTTCACAGTAAGGCAGGAGCAGTTTGGCCTGACAGACCATCCCAGAGGCCTGCGAAACTGAGTAGGATTGAGGCACTGCTTCCCCTCAAAGCTGAGGTGGAAGGTGGGCTTTTTGTGCTTATCTGCCCCAGCCCTAGATTGCTGTCCCAGTGATTAATCAGCCCCTGTGAGCAGACTTTAGGAGCCAGGCTGCGTCTCCTAAACCACTATCAAGGTACATGCTGTGGTGGAACTGCTGCCTCAGGTTGAGTGGAAGTGGGAATACCTTAGGCTTTCTCTTGGTTTTGGTCAGGGTAGGGCTGGTGAGGTCGAGGTGTGCTGCATCTTGCCAAGGGCTGTGAAAGACACTCTCATTTACTGAAGAACCATGTGGCCCAGAATATAGAGAGTCCAAGAAACTATGTCACCACCTCTGACGGTGTGAAGCCGGATGTTCCTCCAACATGCAAGGCTTCCAGGTCTACATTTTCGAGGAACGCTGCTCGGGTTTAGTTTTTAGGTTTCCTCTGTGCGCTCTTGTTTCTCTGCTGTCCACGTATTTATCTCAGGACACAAACGAGCAAGAAAGCCGGGGATGTCTGCGTTTCCCTACACGGCTGCTTTGCCCATCTTTCATCCGGGCTGGTGCCCTGAGCTGTGCGAGGCCAGGCTGGAGCCGTGTTTAAGAAAGCTGCGGGTGCCTCCGTCTCCCTCAACCCCACCTCCCCCCCTCACGCTGGAGAAGAAGCGGGGCCGGGGCAGCCCTTCTCGGCGCAGGGACGCGCAGCAGCCCCAGCCCGCTGATGGGCACAGGCACCGGCCTCAGCCCACCGAGCACCGGCCCCGCCGCCGCCGGTGCCGACTTTTTGGCATCCCTAATCGCGGCTGGCCCCTGTGATTGGCTGCGCGGCTCTGACCCCGCTCGGGCTCCCGGCTGGGCGGATAAAAGGGGCCTGAGCCGGGGGCTCCCAGGCATTCCCGGAGCGGGCACCAGGGACCGGCGGCCGCAGCATGACGGGCAAAGCGGGCGCGGCGCTGGCCCCCAGCCTGCCCGGTAAGCCCAAGCTCGACGGCGCGCCCGCCGCCCCGCCGCCGCCTCCGCCGCCCCCCGCGGCAGGGTCCAAGCCTAGCTCCGGGCCCACCCCTCCCCGCTGCACCGGCTTCGGCATCCAGGAGATCCTGGGCTTGAACAAGGAGCCGCCGTCGCACCCTCGGGCCGCCCTGGACTCGCTGCCCGCCGGGCACCTGCTGGCGGCCCGGTCCGTGCTCAGCCCCGCCGGGGTGGGCGGTGTGAGCATGGGTCTGCTGGGGGCCGGCGGCATCCCCGGCTTCTACACCCAGCCGACTTTCCTGGAGGTGCTCTCCGACCCCCAGAGCGTCCACCTGCAGCCTCTGGCCCGGGCCCCCGGGCAGCTGGACAGCAGCCAGACAGCCAGCTCAGGTAGGCACGTCCCTGGTCCCCGGGGACCCACCGCGCCCCGTCAGCACTGCCAGCCGCTCCCGGCAGCCTCCGGCACCCGCTGCCCCGCCGGGAGGCCCCATGCTCGGCTGCGGGAGGAGGATTTCGTTTCGGTCTCAAAGAGGAGAAGTGCGGGCGGGTGGAACCGTATTCCCTCGCCGTGCGGGGCTGCAGCCGCTACGTGATGGCGTGGCCGTGGGTGCCCGGCCCGTGGATGAGCGGAGTTCGGCGGAGCGCTTCTCCAGCGGCTCCAGCTCGTTGCCGGGAAATAAGGGGCCGCTCGGCACCCCTTTCCTAGACGGCAGCAGCCGCCTGCAACCCTGCCCGCAAGCCCCGCTCCCAGGCCGCCTTGGGTTCCCCCGGCGCGGCAGGCAGCAGTGCCTGGCCCTGGGCCCGGCCTCGGACCCGGGGGACGTCCTCAGGGTCCTCCCGGGAGCGGCCAGAGCCTTCCGACGCGGTGCCCAGCCCGAGTGGTGCCCGCCGCCGCCCGCAGCACGGCCTGCCGAGCAGCACGGCGCCGAGGTAGGGCCAGTGGCGGGGCGCCGCGGGCAGGAACGGCGCCAGAGCCCGGGGCTAGCCCGGGCCGCCGCGGGGCACAGCGGCAGGCATCGAAATGAGGGTCCCGGTTCTGTCACCCGGCGGCTCCTTCGAGGCTTCCTGCCCCTAACACACCCCGGCCGGCCATCTCCGGAGAGCGGGGAACGGGGACGGGCCGAAGCTTGTCCCGGGAGGTTTTTTCCTTTCTTTTTTTCCCGTAGCTTCATAAACCTCAGTTTCTCCCTCCCCGCTCCCGTGTTTCTGCGGGGCAGTCCGGGATCCCCGGACTGGGGCAGGCGGCCGCTGTGCCCGGCCGCGGGGAGGGAGCTCCAGCTTTCCCCTTTTCCTACGGTTTTGTTGAGCTTGCCGGGTCTGCATTTTAGCAGCGAGACAACAGCAGCCCCAGCAAACGACTCCGGGGAAGAGAGGGGAGTGCGAGAGCCCTGTCCCGGCCCGGAGCCTTCCCTGGCGAGGGCGGATGGCCCCGGAGCGGGACCAACACCGGAACTGGGACCAGCACTGGGGCCGGAGCTGGGGCCGCGCCGGGTTGGAGAGAGCGGCCGGCGGCGGGCCCCGTCTGCGGCATCATCGCAACGAAACCTTCGGCCAGAGCCGCCGGAGGGAACGGAGCCGCCGGGCCCGACGCTACCCGGGGGCCCGAAGCCCACGGCCGCTGCCTGTCTCTCCGCAGATTCCGAGGATGTCTCCTCCAGCGACCGGAAAATGTCCAAATCCTCCCTAAACCAGAGCAAGAAACGGAAGAAGAGGCGGCACAGGTAAGAGAGCGGCCTCTACCTTGCCGGCTCCCGCCATCCCCTCCAAGACACCGGGTAGCGGTGAGCCCCGCCGTCCCGGCGGCCCGACGCGTTCCCTCCCCGCTCCGGCCCGGAGTGAAATAGCCCTCCCGCACCTGCCGCGGGAACGCCCCGGCGCCGCTGCGGCTTCTTCCCTCTGCCTTTTCCTTTTTACTTTCTCCCGGTCCAAAACAGATCGGCTCTGGGCAGGCGCCTTTAGGGAGCAGGGGATCGGCCACAGGTGTCTCTTTGTTTAATTTTTCTGGCTGCAGGTCCAGGTATCCCGAGCCGCAAACCCGAGCAGCCCGTGAGCATCTGGGCGGGATGCGGATCACCCCTGCCTGGGGCGGGGGTCCTCGTCAAACCTGTCCCCTGCTCCCTATATAACAACCTTAATATTGCCTGTCAGAGAATTTCTATCAACGATTTAATTATTTTATTACTTACAAATAAATGTTTTACCAAAAGAGTAAGTGGTTGCGAATCAGACGCAGCCTGCAGAGAAGCCAAAGAAGGCTAGAGAATTGGTTAAGGAAACGAAGATCCTCTTTGGATTTCGTTTCCCTCGGGACAGGGCAGAATGATAGACTTTGCCTGGCTTCCCCCACAGCTAAAACGTGTCTTATACACAGAAACGAAAAATGCCATGCTGGTTTCTGGCACTGCTGTGGCCGGAAAGTCAGGACAAAGGAAAGCCAGACACCAGCCACCGAGGGTATTTAGGAATAATTAAATCAATCCTGCCAGGGTGCAGGAAGGGTGGATTAAAAGATGCCCCAGTGAAAGCTCAGCAGGATGCAGGGTGGAAGGAAACCGACTGTCCCGGGAGACATCCTGCGTTTGAGCTACAGAACTCTTGGTCTGCAGGGCTCATCCCAAACCCGGGGTCGCTCCCCAGGCAGTTTGGGTGCCCTGCGGTAAATAGGGCTTCTTTTTCTTCGTGGGCCGGACAGGGCTGGGTGAAAACACATCAGGGGCTGGTGTAGGGGTCATGGTCTAGGACGGGAGAGAGGAAAGGAAAGGAAATCCAGATCTGTTTCTTTTCAGTTCTAGACAGAAACAGACCCGCAACATTTAGCTGTAATTGTATATTCTGTGCTAAATGGTTAAGATCTCTAGTTGTACCAAGAAAGGGCTGGGATGTGACAGGCCGATAGTCTGAAAATAGCTGCAGGATAGAAACAGCAAAAGGGACAGTGGACTGTGGATCGCAAAAGAGACAGGGACTGAGATGCTGAAAGGGGGAAACTTCAGCTTCACCCTGCCGCCGGTGAGCCTTGCTGGGCTTCAGCGCTCTTCTCAGAGGAGGGTGAAGGGGAATGCTTGAAATCCAAACGGGATCGAAATCGGAATAATTTTTCCTGTGGTCCCAGAGAAAGAAAATACACTCGTTGGTGTGCCTTTGCTGTCCCTAGAGTTCACAGATCTGTCGGAGCCAGAGGAAAACTGTTTGAAAAGAGAACGGATTTAGGAGTGAATTTAAAGAAGGGTCTGCTGCAGGCAGGTCCCTTGCATTTGCATGCTGCTTTTGTTAGTAATGTAATCGACCTGGTGGAATTCTTCGGATTCTGAATGGCGGGGGTTATTTCTGTTTATGCCCTCTGGAACTGCAGGGCTTTTCTGAAATTCGGATGCATTTTAAAAACAGAATTTTCCCCCGCTCTTTCCTTCCCCCTTCTGGGAGCTATATATTCTTCAGTCGTATAATCTATTTATGTATGTTCTTTGAACAAAGGCTGCAATTCGTTGTTGTTCAGTTTGGTTTGGTTGTTTTTCTGTTTGATTGTTTTTTTTGGTGGTGTTTGGTTTCTCCCACCTCTGCCCCCATTGGAGTGTTGCTGGTTCTTTTATCAAAAATTGCATTTTGTGAATGAGGGCGGGGGCTGTGTAGGATGGGATTTTTAGCCCTCTGTGGAGTGGAAGCGGTTTGAGACCTCTCATCCATCCCCTGGAGAAGGGTTTTCATCCGTCTCGGCTTTCCAGCTGCTAGGTTTTCAATTTGGTTGTCCTGAGCTGAGAACTGGTTGTGCAGGGGCGGGTTGGGCTGCTGCCCACCCAGGGCGGTCCAGAAGGATTTTCAGAGGATAATGGGGTAATGCAAACTGGCAGGGAGCAGCTAGTGGGATATCGGTGCGGAAGCAACCAGGGTAAAGTCAGAGGAAAGGAGCTGGCACTGGCTCTCATAGGGAAGGACTGGTGAAAAGCAGCGGGGAGAAGAGTGGTTAAGACATTTGGAGGATTCAGACGAGGACCAGGGCTCCAGGGGAGGATAATCTGCTCGTGGAGATTGAAGAGGCTAAGGACCAGCCGCTGGAAAGGGCTCAGTGCGTCTCCAGATGGGATGCTGAGATGCTGCTTTATCTCAATGTGACTACCAAAGGGTTAAGAAACCTCTGGATGCAAGATCGGGGGGGAGTAGGGGAGGGGATGTGGTGGTGGAGTTAAGCCAGGCCAGGGGTGGCTACACCGTTGTAGGGTGGTGAGGGACAGGGACATCCCCAGGATCCTCACAAGAGGCAGCAGAGTCAGAGGTGTAAAAACAGCTGTCATCGGCGCTGGCTGCAGGTGCTGCTGCTGGGAAGGGACTGTCTCCAGAGGCAAATCCCTGAAAGGGAAGGTGATTTGTAACTGTTTAAAGTGCTGTCTTCTGACATTTTCTCTTTCTGCTTTCACCTTGGCACCTGACCTTTTGTGCACAGAAACGGGGGGGGGGGTGGGGGTGGGGGTGGGGGTTGGGGGGAAGCTATGCATTAGCAGGTTACCCAGGTTTCTGTAGCTTCTGTGTCCATTTCTCTGACTCTTCATCATCTTTGCTGCTACTTCTTATGTTTTTTGATCAAGGAGTTTTACTCCCCTCAGGACAATCTTCACATCCTACCAACTGGAGGAGCTGGAAAAGGCCTTCAATGAGGCCCACTATCCTGATGTATATGCTAGAGAGATGCTGGCCATGAAAACAGAATTGCCAGAAGACAGGATACAGGTAATCATATTTCTTGGACCCCCTTATCCTGCTCCTCTCAGCCATATTCATCCCTCCCTGAAGATAAGGTAGTGACACTGGAAGGGTGATACTGCTCTGAATACGCCCCACCAGGCCGTCCACTCCCCTGCTTTTGATGAGTAGGCAGCCAGATCAGCTGTTCTTGGCAGATTTGTGTTCGATGTTTGTATGTCAACATGTGCTGTACATGGCATGTTGTATCAGTGACCGTGTGTGTGGAACAGAGGGAATCCTAAATCATTGAAGGGGAACTGGTGTGCAAGGAAAGACCGCAGCACTTCGAGGTCTTGGCGGCATAGGCAAGAAGAGAGCCCTCTACAGATCAGGTCTGGGTGCGCAGTGTGGGAGGGAAAGAGCTCATTTCTCGTTTGGGCAGAGACGGCACAGAGATGCTGTAGGCAGCTCATACCGCCGTGGGTAGGACGGCAGTGTGGCAGTGACATGGTGAGGTGTTTGCACCATCCAGTGAGGTGTCTGCACCGTCTCGGCACTTTAGCTGCGCTTGCCTCCTCAAGTGAAGCTTCCCTGAAAGTTTCTGGGATAAGGTTTTGTTAATGATTTTTAATGTTTGAAGTTTAACTTCATGCCAGTCCTGTCATGCCCCTGTGAGGAGGTAGATTGAAATGGTGGTATCTCATTGGTGAATCCTCTGGTGGTAAGGAGCAGCCTCAGCCACTGGGCAATCCCAAGCCCCAAGAGCTGGAGAAGACTTACAGCTGTTGCGAAAGGCACAATGTGCTTGGACAGATGTTCACAAGAGTGGACTCCAGCAGCTTCTGCTGCTTTCCTCCGTGCAGATGATGTTTCTTGGCTGGCTGGGGCTTGGAGCCCTGTGCAGTGGCAGGGGCTGCCTCTGTGGCTGGTACATAGCAGTTTCTATGAGAAGAATTGGTCTGAGTGCCAGGTGGTGTTGGGAGGGTCCAGGTTTCCCTGGTTCCTCCTTCTGCTCAGTCCCTCATGCATGCCTAGCATCCACCAATCTGTTCCTTCAGCCTGTGTTCTTTCTTTGCTAAAGAGGTGGCCCAGGAGGCTGCTCCCTCCTGAGTTTGAAAACTCTGAGGGCATTCATCAAGATGATGCTGATGCTAGAAGCTGCTGAGGCATGACCCTGCACAGGGACAGAGAGATCATCCTGAACAAAAGTGCAGCCCTTTTCCCCTCAGTCCAGAGCGCCCCTCACCATCCGCATTCTTGTGCTTAATCGAGTGACGTTTTTATAAGAGCAAGTTGTGCTTCTCCCGTTGCACTGGCAAGACTCCTGTTGACCTAACAGCTTGTAGATAACCTGCCTGCTGACATGTTTTTCAATGGTCCTCACAAATAATGGCCCATCATCTGAAGTCCTACCTGATGCATTAGGATCTTGCACTGAGCAACATGACCTGATGTTTTGCCTCTGGAGAGAGTAAGCTGGCTGGCTGGTCACTTCTCCACTTGTGATCCTGTAGGACATTAAGTCAAGAGGAGAGAGACCTGTCAGGAGTTTAGTGTTGCCTGCACCCACCATCTGACGCTGGACTGAAAAGAAGATCCTTCGATTACCTATAAAGGACCTTTCCAAGGAAGAGGTTAATCTAGTGGTACAGTATATGTTGAACTGCAGAGGCACCATTTTCCTGGCCAGAGCTGAGGGTGTTCACTATGGGGGAGGTGGAGGGAGATGTTATGACAAAAAAGCAGAGCTGGACGTTGCATGTACTGCTTCAGCACCTGGAGCATCCTTCTAGTGCTGAGACGCAGTGTTTTATCTGATTTGGAGTGAAACAGTGGCTAATATATCTTAGCTATCACTGACTTTCTGCCAACTTGCCATTCTGCAACTGGCTAATGAACGTCTGCCTACTCTTCTTGTACTGCAGAGGTTTTAAACCTAGGAGTGCTCCTTACTGTGACCTCTCTGCCCTAGAGATCAGGTTAGACTTGGACAGCAGAAGCACTATGTGGTGTGGCTGTTTTGAACATTAGGTTTTGCTAATGACATCTGTATTCCAGAACAAAGTGCTTGTGAGTAATAACTTTTGCTCATCGTGAAAGGCTAAATAATGAGAAACAGCAGAATCATTTGTTGTGTGAGAGCATGAGCACCCTGCCAGGGTGAATGAGCATCAGGGCCATGTAGGAGTCCCAAGCGCCACTGACCTTTTCAATGGGTCACCCTCCAATTGTCCCTTACCACATATTTTATGAAGTTTCCTTGTCCATACTTTTTTTTTCTTTTGTGTGTCACAAGCTATGACAAGATGATTCCAAACCTTGGGCGTGCTTCTTGATATTTCACCTCATGTTAATCTTCAACTTTAGCCCCTTTTGTATGAGCCTAATTCTTTCCACCTTGTTATGGTGTTCGTACTCTTTAAATAAATCTAAGCTGTTTCTTCTCCTGGCTGTCACTTTTGGTTTTCATCATCACTTAAGCAAGCTGTGAAGATCTTTTCTTAAATCATTCTTCATAAATCACACACCAGTCTCTTAATCATGTGGTTGTTCTTCTGTGAAGACCATCCTGCCTGTCAGCCTTCCTGGAGATAAGGGACCACATGCCCACAGCTGCACACTGGGTTCAGCAGGACCTCTGAGTCCTTGCAGAAACAGCCTCAGATTAGCACCAGTCTACTTGTTTACGTACTTATTCTATTTATCTAATTCAGTCACTTTAAGCTTTTTTTTTATACAGATTCCTTTTTTTTTATCCTGAGGATTTTCCCTTCAGTATTCTGGTTTTATGTCATTTTATTAACTTTGGCTAACAAGCATCATAACATCCCTACTATGTCTGACACTGGCAAGAGTTGGATGTTAGAGTATGAGAGCAGGAGCTATATCTAGTGATACTGAATAGTTGGACAACCTCCTGGGATTTGGAACATGTAAACATCTTTGTATCTTGCAGAAAGAATTTCTGCAGCAAAACTACAGAAAGTAGTTACGAGTGAAGTAAATCTTGCTTAGAATCTATTACCATCACTTAATGCTCCTCATGTAATCTTTGTGCCCCTTCTTGCATGAGTTTCTAACTGCTCAAGAGAGCTCTGCATTTTTGCATTTTAGAATCATAGGATCAATTAGGTTGGAAAAGACCTTTAAGATCATCAAGTTCAACCATTACCCCAAGACTGCCAAGACCACCACTAAACCGTATAAACTGTATCATTTTCATTGTAGTTTGCAGTTTCTCCCATCTTTCAACATTCTTTTCTCCTTCTTGTAGGTCATTAATGAAAGTGTTTTCTAAGATTGCTGTGATCATCACATGTTGTGGGCTTTCATTGCATTTCAAGCGGCTTCCCACTGGATCCACATCTAAAAGTGATATCTATCCCTTATTTTCATTCATGGACTTATTTCTCAGGAGGTAGTAGTTAAGAAGAAAGTAATTCACCTATGAAATTCAGTATGAAAGTGAAATTCAAAGAGGGCATTTGAGAGAATGATATATAGGAACTGTTTGCATGTAAAACCTTTATCAGAACACTACAAATAGCTATCAGAGGCCAAGAAAGTTACTGGTTTGAGAGAACATTGAATTTGAGGGAAAATATTCAAATCCTCTGCTTAAAGACAAGATGAACATGTTTGGTTTTCTTTCAAGGCAGGTCTCTTTCATGTTACATGCTGCATCCTCCTGTATTGGTAGGAGGAAGGAATATAAGCATCCTCCTATTGGGAAAAGAATTTAGTTTTCCTAGTGAGACCCTTGGTGTAAGTCAGACCAGATGCCACTGTGGCTATTTTGAAAGATACTTGAAAAAAACTACATTAATCGGTGTATTTGAAAGAATATTCAGAAGGGTTGAAGTGCTGCTATTAGAATAAACCCAGACCATTCTGTAAAATCCAGGAGAGGTAAGTAGATTCCCGTGGGGAAGTATATCCTTAATAAACAACTTAAAATATTCTAAATGGCCTCAAGCTGATAAATATTCTGACGCCTGACTTAGATCAGTGTGTTTCTCATAACAGATACTCTGAAATGCAATGTGTAGATTTTACATAAGTTATCTCTATTGAATGTATTACTATATGACCATTCTGAACTTTAAATGCCAGTATCTGCAATAGTAAAGTTCAGTAACAGTTTGATTTGGGATTATTGAAATGACCGTGTATGTTTAGCATTACAGTACGTCTCCTACCAACCAACCAAATTGGTTCAGTATTTCAAAGAGATAAGATCCTGACTGCCATTGTGGGGACACTAGAATCACCTTCTAAGGGAACTAATCCGTCAACAAAGAGAATAAAAGTGCTAAAAAATCATCCATTCTTCTTATTAAATGATTGTATGGTAATTATGTGGATGAACAATTTTAGGACAAATAAAACTGCTCACATAAGCAAAAGGAACCCTGAGGAGACACTGGTGCTATGCGTGAGGAGTGGGGATTGTCTGTATCCAAACAAGCTTTTGTCAGGCAGCCAAGAGGTCAATTTTGGCTAAAGCCAAAACAAAGACAATTAGAACTCTAATTGAAAGTGTATTGTTTTAGATGCTTTCAGTATCATTCTGTAGCCCTTTAGGAGTTGAATGGGGATGGAGGAATTGGGATGGGTTGTCATTTGGAAAGAAGCATTTGTACCAAAAATATCTTTCCAGAACAAGAGGTTTACTTCAGTTTTGCAAAAATGGTCTGTATTTAGAGGTGAACATAATTTGGAAAGGCCTGAGGAACCTGTATCAAACTGATGAGGGGCTCAGAATAGAACCCATAGAGTCCCCTCAAGAAACACGATAGAAAGTGTGAAGGAGAAAGTTTGGTTTATGCAGCTTTAGCAGCCCTGGCTTCTCCCCCACCCATCATAATTTGCTGCTTGCTGCAGAGTGTTGGACTGTAGTCCTAATCCCATGGTGCAAGTGTGGAATGGGGATGATTGTCCCATGCAGTTGCTGACCTTTCCTGAATCTGTGCCTGGAATGGCCGCCAAGGGATTTCTTAGTGCTGCAGAAAATAGTGGTTATGTTGTTTTTTATATGTCTGTGC